AAATAATTCAATAATATCTATAGCTGAAAATACTCCAATCGGTGAAATTTTAGCACATATATCAATTTCTGATCAAGATTCAGGTTTAAATGGTAAAATCTCATATAAAATTGAACAAGGTGAAGATTTAATTGGAATAAAAATACTTGATGAAAAATCATTTTTACTTATTATTAATTGTTTAATCGATCATGAAGATGAAAATATAAAATATAATAAATTTATTTTAATTATATTTGATCATGGAAAACCATCGAAATCAATACGATTAGAGTATCAAATAAATATTATTGATTTAAATGATTCACCACCGAAATTTAATTCATCAATTAATTGTAATTTACATTTAGATCTTTCACAAAATCGATCTTTAGGTTTGTTAAAAAGAACAAAAACAAATTTTTTGTTTTTTTGTATTTTTAATATGAAAAAAAAAATTTAATTTTTAGATCAACCTTTATTTCAAGTGCAAGCAATTGATTTAGATACAGATGATAATGGTCTTATTTCTTATTCTATTCTTCCTCCATTTGAAAATTCATTTATAATTAATGATGAAGGTGAAATATTTTATTTTGATAATTTTAATGAATCTTCTTATCATCTTGAAATCATGGCAATTGATCATGGAAAACCAATTCGATTAAATTCAACTTATAATTGTCATTTATTCACTTCGAAAAATAATGATCTTGAAAATTTTAATAAGTCTATATCATTAATTGATCGTATAACAATATTTCAATATAATTATTTATATCTATTTATTATTTTTTTAATATTTATCTTTCTTTTAATAACATATTGTTTTTATAAATTAATATTTAATCATCAAAAATGTTTTCAACAAAATAAATCATATCATTTATATGTTTCAATTCCTCGAAAATCATCATATATGAATAATAAAAGTCTTTCTAATAGTCAAATAAGTGATAATCAATCGGAAGAACATGAAAGACTTGTTCAAATAAATAGTGATCAAACATTGGATAAAGTAATAATAGAATTTATATTTGAATAAAATATTAATTAATTAATTTTAAATATTTAGGATTCATTATTAGATCATCATCAATTCTTTCCAACAGTACAAAATCATTCTCCATCTTCAATATCTTCTATTATTGTTTCAACAAAATCTCCACATGAATTAATAATTCAAACAAAACAAGATAGTCGACCAGTATCTTTATCGATTTCAACAGCAACAACATGTATAAGTACGGGAACAGATTTATCATTTAAATTAAACAATTCAAATTCAACTGTTGTTCGTCTTGCAGAAGAAGAAAATATTGATGTTTAAATAGACTAGTCATTTTATGTGCTTTTATTTTGATGTTGTCTTTTGAATTGTTTGTATAAAAACAAAAAACATATCTATTTGCAAACTTTCAGGATTGTTTTTACTTTAAATCTTGATATTGTCTCTATTCATATTGTGAAAAAAAAAGAGAAATTTAATTTTTTTAAACTAAGATTTTGTTCAAATTCAGTCGAACTGTATTATGTATGAATCAAAAACATATTTCAAACGAGATTGAATAGATTTGATAAATTTCAAAACGATAAATATCAATAGGATCTCATACATTATACAATGATGTTGATTTTAAGTTTATATAATATATTCACATGGAATTTGTTTGGTGAATATTTTCTTTTTTTAAAAGTCTTTCAAATCTTATGCAGGCCAGATTTTATCAAATACATTATGAACAATAATAAATAAACTTCTATTATAATATAACAATTCATAATATACTTTATTTAATTATTTGAGTCATTTAAATATGGAAGAAAAATATTGAAGATATAGTGAAACAATTATATAGTTGACAGATTATAAAACTTGATGATTTGTGGTTTACGACATGGTCAAATATCAAATTATGAAAAAAAAATTAAGATTACAATGAAAAATCCGAAGATAATGCTTGTCAATTATTAATATTTTTGTGTTGATTATTTATTTATTTTTGATGAAATGAAAATAAAATACTTGTTATTATAAAACTTGAACAAAATACACTAAATATGACTCAAAGCAATGTGTCCATATACTAATTTTCATATGTCACAAATGCCTTGAAAGTCAATAAACATTAAAACTGATCTCTACTTTGGTCTATTTCAATTCTAAAGTGAACTCAAAATTATTCTATGTGATCTTGACACGGTATAAATTGAATTCATATTAAATTTTCAAAATGTTCAAGATAGACCGAAGTAAATTGACTGATGAATTATTATGCTTCTAATTGGTTACTACCTCTCAATACACTCCTAGGCGCATTTCACATGAATATTCATGATTAATTCATGCAATGAATGAGATAACAGTTTTTTTTTTCTTTTGCTTGCATAGTCACATTAATCAAAGATAATAGAAGAATTAAATACGACATATTTTGAAAAGGATGAATTTCATATAACGTTTGCATACCAAATTAGCTAACAAAAACACTGATTCTTATTCGAAAGCTAATGGAAACTCTATTTTGACATTGACATACATGATCTTACAATAAGACTATTTAGCCTTGTAAGTATTATTAGAATCGATTGGCATTGATTATGAATACATTCTATATTCTCTTATATTTCACCGAAAGTAATATGCTTTTGTAAAAAAAATTCCTTTTCTAAGAGAGAACATTATTTATTCTGTTAAGAAGAAAAAAGCAAAATTGTTTGATGAACTTTTAACTAAAGACGATCAGACATGCGAACAAAAAAAAAAAAAGAAAGGTGAAAAATTTTTTTTTTTCATGTTCGCAATCAAAGACATACACAGCATATAGGTATTGTACTTTAATCTATGTTAAAATGTCATATGAAAAGCAAATAAAAATGATGCTCTAAAACCGATAGTCAAAAAAATTTCTAGATGCTATTGAAAATTTTTTCAAGTTTTTCATAAATTGAATAGTTGTTTCAACACTGTTGTTTTCATATATTTTCATAGCATCTAAAAGAATCAATCTGACTTCTTTCTTCGACAATATTTTCTTCATGTGTCAATCAAATTATTTCAGTTCGTTTCTCAAATAATAATGATGGAAGTTCAATATAAACATACTTCCTTTTCTTCTGATTTATCGCTTCATCAGTTAATTCATGTACGATTACTTTGATTATGTTACATTGATGCCTCAAGGACATAACACAAAATAATAATTGATTGTCATCAACTTTTGCATCTCAAAATGATTATATATTATTCAGAATATAGAAATTTTCTTGATTTTTTTCAATATTATTTAGAACTCAACTAAATTGACTCATTGTCATATGAATAAAGCAAGTTATTATAAATACATATCAATGATGATTTTATAATCTTTCATATATATATATATATCAATTTCATATCAATCTTTCGGATCAACTGAAATGATTGATCATTTTCAATGAACATCTTATCATCAATGATTTTATGTACCAGTCAACAATATGAATGATAATTATCATCGAAGATTACCTTCTGCTCCATCGATAATAATAATATTATAGTTATCTGATTTATGATTATCACAAGCCATGATAAATATATTATCAGCCATGTCTAATCTAATTCATTTAAACCTTGATACATTCTCTACTAACTATAATGGATATAGATGGAAAAAAATAATAAGCGATTATTAATGAACATTGAATGTTTATTTATTTTTGAAAGCTTATTCAGTTTTCTAAAAAAAAAACAGAAAACATTAAAAAATATGTTGATGAATTGTATGATACATTTTGTACTCGATTTTGGCTTGAAAAATACCATTGATATATCCGCTGTTGTTTTAGATCTAAAAACAACTGTATAACCAATGCTTTTTATATTCTACTTGCTGAAGTTATTGCTTTCGATTCGACGGATACGTTAACAATCATACATATGTTAATCAGTTCTTAGGATAGGGATTATTTTTTATACGATCGAGTGAATAATCATTCTTAAAATTCTTTTATACTTACGATTTTTTAATATTCGAAATCTTCCTATAAGCTCACCTTTGAATAAATACTCTTGAAACATTGTTCTAATACGTCATCAATAACAGTTTCTAACTGTATAATGAATTGGTAAACATGCTAAATTACATGTAGAATATTAATTTGATCAAATACCAATATCTATATTCGGTAAAAATCGAATTGTGATCATATTCTCAAGTATCTATAGCTGAAAAGATAAATTCATCTCTTTGTCGACTTAATTACATTGAAAAATGAACAATCATTTTTTCCTTCAAAGAGAAAAACATGATGTTTTTTTTTAATGTCTAAGGATGTAATCCTTTCATTTGCTTTGCATTATTAGCTATGCAATATAAAGAACTTCTAATTAAAGTTAAATATCGAAGAAATATACTCGATCCTTATGAATGGAATGTGTTGATTTCAAGCGTTATTATTTGATTTTGATTTTAGTTCTGATAAGCTCTTTCCATTTAAAAATTACTTTATAGGGATTCAAATTTGACTTGAATGACTCATACAATTAATCCCTCCTTCCTTCAACATGTATTGTTTCAAAATACAGTTACAACAATTTATTATGCATGATGTTTGAATTGAACATAATCTACTAAAAGTCGAATTAAATAATGATAAAAATAGTATCGATTCAGATGGATATAAACATAATTGTATACTTTTTCTGTCAACGTAATCAAAATTTTAAATTTATTCTTTTCATTTTCAGCTTCCTAGGAAGTAATTCAAATATGTTAATGTAAGTTTTTTTTTCGCGATTCGTACGAAATATTTACCATCATGATCTCTATAATAACTTTTGTTGGAAAGAAAAATAAAATTCGTGTCACAAAGATTCAGAAAAAAATATTTGTATAATGACCTACTTCCGTTTGGTGGCATCAATTCAACAGAAACTCTTTCAATTTCACAACAAATGAAATAAGTATAAAAGCTGAGTTTAATTTGTCGATTATTCATCTTCAACATAAAATCATACCAATCATTCGAACTATACACAGATGGCTATGCATCTCTATCGTGACCAATTTGGTTTACGTCCAACAAGTGCAAGAGCAACAGTTCCTAATAATGATTTAGCTCGACTTATGTATTATCTCAATTGCGTATTCAGTGCTATCGAATACGAAGATCAAGATGTACGACGATATCGTAACTATCACAATTGGTCATTGCTTAGTGATGCTGAACAGAGAATGGTATTAGTACTTGCTTTGGCTCTTAGTCCTGATGAATTCAATGGTAAAATCTTTTTTCATTCAGATGAACTTTGCGGTGATAGTGGTAACAAATTTTATGAATTCAGTCAAGTTCGTCATCAATTTTTGGCTGTTCAATCGATTTTCGTTGCTGGACAAACACGTCATGTCAAACAAATTATGACATATAAAATGTCTTGGATACAATATTACTATGTTGAACCAGTGAAACGACTTGCTTATTATTTCAATCAACAACGAGAACGGCAAATAGCTGCAGCACGAGCTAGATCTGCCCGAGCAACCTATACGTATCAGAATTCGCCAAGCAATGTTTGCGTCATTTCATAAATAAACCATTTCGAACACAAGATCAAATTCTTTTTTTCAAAAGTTTTTCTTGTAAACATTTCTATAATCATGATTTAGTTTTCAATGAGAAAAATTAGTCTATTAGAACTAGAGGTCTGCGGTTCCACAAAATCTGGAACCGAGAACCGAACCGGAACCGCTTTTTAAAAATTTCTCAGAACCGGAACCGGACTGGGAACCGTAAAAAAAATTCCCAAGGAACCGCTAAAGGAACCGGAACCGTTCTTCTGTTGTATGACTGCCGATATCGAGTTTTTTCAGAAGAAAATTTTTATTAAAATGATGCACCATGCATATTACACAAGACCTAATGTTATTCTTGAGTTGAGGATGCGAGTCTTCTATTCAGCAACATACTACAGGCATAACCATATCTAATGAACTCCAAGTCACAGCCACACTCAGATAACTAAACGGTTCTGCGGTTCTATGGAATATTTTTGGAACCGAACCGGAACCGCTATTTTTCAATCATTGGGAACCGGACCCGGAACCGCGGTTCCGGTTCCCGGTTCGGTTCCGGGTAATTTTTGGAACCGCAGACCTCTATTCTTCACACTTTATGTTGATTATCAATTGTAATATAACCAGAACAATCAAATTATCATTAAAAAGACATAATGCAGCTTGAAATAATGCAACAATAAGAGCTATATTGCATTTTTATTCCACTTTCACAGGAGGACATTTGTGTATTTCCTGCTTTCCCAACTAATTCTTCTTATCTTAGTCTGAATTAGTCAACCTAATTTAAGCAAAACGTCATGTATCTAGAATATAAAAATGATATTAAATGACAAGACTCTAGGAAGAAATGATTGAGAACCCCTCCTACATCGACGATTTTGGCTAACAGAATAGTTAAAATGCATCTAGCATTATGTCAATTACCAATAAGAAGATTTTTCCATTGTTCATTTCATCCAGATTTTGCACATGCTGAAAAACACTAGTTTCTTTTGGCAGCAGAATTTGTAATGAGAAACTTTCATTTTAAAATGTTCACTTAAATATTCATTCTTCTTCATCAAGTTTGGGCATTCCTTTAATAGAAAAATTGTCAATGCATATCAGAAACTTCTATACGCCCAATTGCTATGAAACATTTTCTCTCTCCCGTTGTGAAAAATCTTCGAGTCCACAGCGACGCAAAACTAATTCAATATTGACAATTTTGTCACTCCTCTCTTCTTCTTTCTAGAAAGGGTTTCCTAGAATAACTGATAAATTGTTATTGATATTTTTCATACTTTTGCTTAACGTAGAGACCTGGCATGTTTATCAGATATATATTCAACGAGGATTCTTCATTTTTTGAAAGTTTCATCCAGCTATTATATAACACCCTTTGCATCATGCCTTGGGCAAAAAGAGCAAGGAAGATAAAAAGTAAAAGTGAAAAACAACGAGAAAAAAAGAAAAGTTAAAATTGAAACCAATCAACGAAAGTGGCGGAATAAGTAGTACAACAATGTGTAAGAAAACGAGGCGTAATGAAAGATAGAAGAGAGAAAAAAAATTTCTGATGGTAACAATTTTATTTGGACAGGCTGGTTACCTTTATGTATAGACGGTCGACTTTTTTTTGAGAGGTTGCAAGCAAAGCAATACCATCCGAGATAAAGCGGTTCTTGTTTTAAAGCAAGATAAAATTTTCAATTGATTTAAGGATATTGAATAGCGAAAAAAAACATGTGGCTAAAATAAAAGTAACACGATCTGAGCTTCTTCGTTGCTAACAGACTCATCAGGTGATTTAAATTTGATTATATCCGTATGATCGCAAGCGTTAAATATTACATAAAGTGAAAGCAAAATTCTGTAAGAATTCAATAGTTTCTTTTATTATCTTTTCAAAATCAGGATTACAGATGATCTAATAACCAAGTGACTTGGTCACGATCTATGACTATTTAGTACATCAATAATACTTGAGCGGTCTGCTGCTTCATTTTGAAGAACGACACTGCGTCTTTCCAAATGAATATCAATTTAAAAATAAATATGAAGAGGCAAACAACTGATTTCATAAATTGAATTTGCATTTGCTAAATTACAAACTGATACTTTTATTAATCAATCATTTGTGATCTGAAGAGTAATATACTAGTATAACAAAACATCACTCTTTGTCAAGCTTCTAAGGTGCTTGTAATTCAAAAATTGAGTAAAATGTTTGTTTGAGTTATATGCACATGGTTCAATAGAGCTCGATGAACGGTACATATCTATGTTAGAAAATTTCTAAGCTCATTGCCTGAGATACAAATTTACAAGAAAGCTTGTTAAAACAGCTTTGAACAAATTCAATTTTTTCCATTTAGAAGAAATATCCTTAATATTTCAACAAACTTATCCTTTTTAATGATGTTTTTATATAAAAAACTTAGAAAAGTGTTCATTAGATGCAACGTGAAAAACTGCATCTAGTTATATAGTTTCGTGAGTGATCCCATAAAATATTGTCCAAACGTTGCTGAGTCTACAAGTGATTCACAATAATATAAGGAAAGTTCGCCTCATGCCATATTCAAATACCAAAAATAGTAGATTATGAAAACTTGTTTATAGTCTTGAAAGTGAAGCTTGTTGTCGTCTTCCGTTTGACTCTCATAAAAATAAAGAAATTTAGATGATGATTTTATTTTGAGTATTGTCCACTATTGGATCACTTAGAGAAGTGGTTCATATAGCAAGTGATAGAGCTCATCTCTTAACACTAAAACACCGCAATAAAAAGATATGAGAGAAACACAGCTCCTTCAAAACTATTCAAGAGAAAGGACAACGAAACGTTCGAAAAAATTACCATTTTGGTAGAATGAAGCTTCATTTAGCATGGCAATTTTATCTATNAAATTGAAACTATTACCAACACTCCCAACAACAATTGAGCAATGTGGTCAACAAAATAATCATGCCTGGTATTTTGCTGAATATAGTAAATCAAATGACGGTAAATAAAAACTGTTACACTACTGTCATCTTTAAGAAGTGATATATTAATTTAGTCGCTGTAGGGTTTTTTTGTATGAGATGGTCAATTTCTCACCAATCACATTTTTTTTCTGTTCTGTTCATATATACACACTGTGCCTAAAGTGGAGTAGTAACTTTTTGGTTCCTTCTTTCATTGAATGGTCAGATCTTCCAATCAATAATCAGTCATTCGTCATCGAAAAGTTGCTTATTATGAAACTTCGTTCGAATACTTGAAAACATAATATACGCTCATGTTTCTTTTTATAATTGTGAAGGCGAGGAATGAGGGATGTCATTGCTGTATCAAATTCGAAATTGCATCGATTACTTTCATGAATCGAGCATCGGGATAGAGCTTCACAAACCATGACAGAATAGGAAGTTGATAGTAATTTCTTCTTTAAAACACCTATGATAGACTCAGTTAAATAAAAGAAAAGATCCGTAAGGAATCTTTAAGTGTGTTTGATTCTCTTAATTAGCAGTCCACAAAAATGTATTACATCACTAGTCCCTAACTTTTCTTCACGTCTTTCTGATAAGTTATACACACTAAGTCGTTTAAACACTTATGCTCCATTTTACTGTGGACATTCTTCATAAATCACAAAGACATTTTGCTGACTGAAATCTATTTAACTTTCTAGTAACAAATGGAATCAGAACAAACATCAGGTTAATTAAGCAAACTTCAATAACCAGGAGACGTTTTTTTAATTTTCTTTAGTTTCAAATGAAAGCGAACAAAACGAACTGTTTGAAATCGTCGACGGCATATGCTGGGTTTCAGAGTGGGGTTCGCGTAATCTTCATTTTAGTCTTTCGTATCAGGCCAGACCCGATGATCTATTTATTGTTACTTATCCGAGAAGTGGAACGACTTGGATGCAAAATATTGTGTACATTCTTCTAACCAATGGACAACCCTTCGATGTGGATACAGCTGATTTTTTTCAGCGAAATCCACACTTGGAAATCGATGGCAAAAAATGTGTTGACATGATGCAACGGCCAGGTGCAATCAAAACTCATTTACCAATGCATCGAGTGCCATACAACTTACTGACCAAATATATATGTGTTATAAGAAATCCAAAAGATGTTTGTATTTCCTACTATGTATTCTATAACATGTGGTCTGATGTACCGAAACTTGAATTTGATTGTTTTTTTGAATGTTTCATCGAAGGATATCTACCTTTTGGTGATTATTTTGAAGCACTTCGATCGGCATGGCAACGGCGTCATTATGACAACATTCTACTTGTTTCCTACGAAGAAATGCAAACTGAATTTCAATCTGTGATACAGAAGGTTAGCTTTTCGAAAATTGGCACAACCATGATGAGAGAGTAGAGTGACTTTCCAAAGGAAAGTCATGTCAAGTAAAATAGATCAATCTTGAATCTGAGCTGTAGTGATCTTTTCTTTGAACTATTCCTTTAAAGTTTTTCATAATTATCCAAATAGCTCAAAACATCTAGTCATAAAATATTTGAGTAGATAGAATCATATCTATTGATAATCTAATCTCTTTGCTCAACCATCTATGTAGATCGCAGTAACATCCAATAAAAGTTGTTAATGATGATGACGAACATTTTTCACAATTTCTTCTTATCAACAGGAAAATGTTAACACAGGCTTTGATCATACATTTAGTATAAGAAGTAAAATATTGTTGTTTTTCTATGAGTATGACTCCATCATATGTAAACTGATTCAATTAATACCTTTGAAAATTATTTTCGGATAATAGAGATGGCGTTGTCTTGTATACTTCATGCGTAGTACTTAATGACACACATACCATTTTGCAGATTTGAACTGAAGAATCATTAATTATGGCAGTACTATAGGCATTACCATTGCGTAAGACGCACGATGCTAATGTTATATATTTAATACTCCAGCATATTTAAAATGATATAAATCAATTCTTCCTGTCTATCTACTATTCAGCTCAATTAGAGATTACTCATTTGCGGTTTTCGTTC